GTCCAGCAGTGTAGGGTCAAATGCTGTCCTATGGAGACATCAGTTGGTGTGGAGGTCTGCAGCAGATGTGTGGAGTTGTAGCATAGCATAGCGAGCACAGCAGGAATATCTATTTACATAAAGAAACAGAATTTTTAGGAACATGATATAATTGCTTACTTTCTGGATACATGACTGTGAGTGTTGTAGTGGGCCCTTGGGCCACTACTTCTGCGGCACGGGGAGCCGCATTGGGTGGGTGTGTCTCCCACACCTTTGCTCTAGGTTTTTATCCATCTGTAGACCCAAATCCTTGCATTTCTCTCTTAGTGAATTTAGTTGGAGGTTGTCCTTGTGACACACTTGGAGTCAGGAAGGGAAGTACCAATAATTGTCCCATTTGTTTTTTAAATTTTATAGTTAGTACCGTGTCACTACCATTATATAATATAAATTTTATATATTTTTTTGGTAATCTGCATTAATGACTCCTCCTAGTATATCAATAACTTTTGCGTCTAGTCCAAAGCATCCTTTTAACACACCAAAAGTGTTTTTGGGAAATTGTACCCCTATCCCAGTAGGGACTATAGATTGCTTCTTAGCGGGCAATTGAATAGAATAAACAGTAGATAAATCCAATCCAGCCGCTTCAGCGGTGGCACGAAAAGGCGGTGTAGCAGATTGAGTCAATGGCCAATAGGTTAAGGTCATAAGCTCATGGCTAGTGGCTTCCACTTCTGTAACCTTTGCTGGTAACAACCTTGACAGAGGAGTCTCATTAGGGCCTAGTGGCCTGTTATTTAACATAGTTAGAGCAGTACTTAGATGGTTGTGCCACCCCTTTAACGAGCCATGACTGAGTTTTCTCAATTGTTATTTAAGCAATCCATGCATTCGTTTTATGAGGCCTGCAGCTTGGGGGTAATAAGGTATATGATAAATCCAGTCAACATGATTTTTTTTTGTATAAGTTTGAATCAACTTACCTGTAAAGTGGGAACCGCTGTCACTCTGAATCTGCCTTGGTCTTTTATAGAATTTTATGGCACTCTGTTGGGTGGCTGCTTTAGCCGGCGTAGTTAACAAATAACCAGAATATGTATCAACAGCAGTGCAGGCATAAATATATCCATAAGAATTTGACAAGGGTCCAATAAAATCTATTTGCCAGGTATGGGCGGGAAATAATCCCTTTTGGATATGACCTTGGCAGGGGTGTGGAATTCCCCGTTTGTTTAACTGTTGGCATAATTGACATTGTGCTGCAGTGGCAACATCATCATGGGTGACAAGGATTCCCCTTTGTTGTGCCCACCCGTATGAAGCTTGTTTTCCCAAGTGTCCACTCTTTTCATGGACCTATCATGCTAAGCCTGGGTTGTGGGCTGCACGGATTTGCACCAGCTGATCAGCATGAGACTTATACTTTTGTTTTGTAGAAATTAAAGAACTGTGAGCATCAACATGAAATATAGTAACAATTGTGTTTTGGCACCATAATCATATGTCCTTTTATAATTTCTTTTTAAGTTAAAAAAAAGACTTTAATTTTGGCAGAAGTTTATCAAAAATATCAAAAGATTTTAAAACAGTTGGTCAAATAGGAAACAATGCCTAGTTATTTATTTAATCAAGTTGACAACAGAAACAGTCAAAGGCAAACAGAGAGTTAAAACAGTCAAGAAACAAAAACAAAAACCTTAATAGAGAGACCTCAGTCCTTTTGAACATAGGAAATTATTTTTAAAAAACATAGATGTTCTGTTTTTTATATAGACTTACTCAAAGGAACACCTTTTAATCTTTATATGAGGAGCAGACTAAAAGTTTAAGAAAATTACCTTTATAAGAGAAAGCCAAATCCTAATTTTCCACCAGCTTACTTTAGCCAACTTAACCATGTACAAAACTCCTCAGGGTTTTACTTTCACAAACCTTTTGTCACTTACTTTGTGCATTTAGAATTTGTTTTATGCCTTTTTTTTCCCCTAGTACTTTAGGAAAAATTTATCTTTTTTAATAAAATAAAAATATCTCTATTTTTTATACCTTTTTTATGGACAACATACATTTTGCTTTTTTTGTATACAGACTTTTTAGAAATATGTACTTTTTCATAGAAAATTTCTCAACATATACAAAACATGTTTATCAATAAACGCAAGCATCTTTTAGTTTTTTTGAGATAAGAAACCAAAGGCAGGGGCCGGCCCGGTGGCGCAAGCAGTTAAGTGTGCGCGCTCCGCTGTGGTGGCCCGGGGTTCGCCGGTTCAGATCCCGGGCGCGCACCGACGCACTGCTTGGCAAGCCATGCTGTGGCGGCGTCCCATATAAAGTGGAGGAAGATGGGCATGGATGTTAGCCCAGGGCGAGTCTTCCTCAGCAAAAAAGAGGAGGATTGGCAGATGTTAGCTAAGGGCCGATCTTCCTCACAAAAAAAAAGAAAAAAGAAACCAAAGGCAGACAAATCTATGCTTAGCAACCAATTTTTAATGTTTTATCTTACATGGAAATGACCCAGAGATTCAATAAATTTTTATTAACTTAATTTAGCAAAACTCTAAAGCTTCAAGTTACCAAAAAGATTTTGGAAGCTGTTTTTGCAATAACTTTGTCTTTTAGAAGCTTTCGTGTATTAATTAAAGATTGCATTTCATTGTGAGAGGTTTTGAATCCTGTCTTTTAAGGGTGACCCTTAAGGTGAACTCATCTGAAACAGAGGTTTTCCAGAATGGCCATCACAATTTTAAATTACTTCAAAAGTTTACTTATTTTCGCTTGCTTAATTTTAGATCAGGAATTCCGGGGGAGTTGAAGCAGGAAGCTCAGCAGGAGAGGGGAGGGGAGCAGCAGACTCAGCTTCCGCTGCTGGCGTGTTTAATTATTTAATTGTTTTCTCTTAAAGAGGCAGTACAGTATTCCTGATTTCATTTAGAAGCCTCAAAAGATTAAAATAGGCTTCCCATTAGTTTAACTTTTTAGTTGGCTTTTTCCAATTGTATAAGCAAATACATCAGTTTTGGTAAACTGAAATTGCCCCATTTTGGCCACTTTTTCTATGGAATATTGTGGCCATGTGGTGTTACAAGAAAAAACTATCTTCTTCTTGGACATGGGCTCCTAGCTGAAGTCAGCCCATTTAGCCAAGAGGTCGCCCCGAGGGCTTTTCTTGCGGACAGATGGAATTCCCCCCTTCAAAATTACAAACATACAGAACAGACAGTCAAATGGGATCCCAAACAGAACAGACAGATACATCTAACAGATTCCGGGTAAAAGTCCTACCACTATTCCCACTCCAGTAGGGATAGCCCTGCCTCTTAAAGAGACAGGACTCCAGATGGAGGGGAAGGGAGTTTTTGTATAAGCAAAAACAAACAAACAAATAATTCTAGAGCCTGTTTTCCTGTTATAAGAAAATGTGCCCAGGGTCAGCGGTGCTGGGTCAGATGGAAAGCACTGGGAGCAGTCCCTAGGGGCAAATCACCTAGGCAGCTGCTGGACTGTTTCCCAGGACATCCCACCCGGCCCAGGGCTGCCGAGCCACGGGCAAAGAGCCTCCTGGCTGGCTCACCAAATTATTATTGTATACACATTCAGGCTCCTATTTGACACATATGAGGGGCCAAATAAAACTAGAACGCCAGGCTCATGGCAAAGAAAGAGTTCCTATTTGGGGTGACATCAGCCGGGACTGCAAATCTGAAATTTTTTTCCAAAAGCACCTTCTCCCTTGTATTTTATCCCTATCTTCTATAGCCCAATGATAAGCAGTCAACAAACCCCAACCTCGCCAGGCCAGAAAAGAAACATCATCTCTCTTTTTCCCCCCTCACTGTCTGCAAAGCTTTGGTCACATCCAATGGTTCATATCGCACAGACGAGCATCCCAAGCTTCACATAACCCTGATCTACGAGCACACTCCCCAGCCAGAGTGCAAGAGGGAGGGTCCTCCCATCCTGGAATTTCTTCCACCTTGGCTTCAGTTACCTTTCGTTTGAACAGGAAAGCCATCTCCTTAATGGAATCCTGCTCACAGCGCCAATTATGTTATGAGAGGTTCAGGGATTCGATCAGAGACATAAAAGAAACTTTCCACTCTGAACAAATGGACTGAAGGTATATTTTATTATATAGAGGAGAGTAAAGGTGATAGTCTGCAAACAGATCCGAATAGGTCAAATATTAAGAGGGAAAAACATCAGCTCAACTTGAAAGGGAAAACATCCACATTGACTGAGTTAGCAGCAGATTCGAATAGATCATATAATGAGAGGGAAAAACATCAGATCGACTGGAAAGGGAAAACATTCACATTGACTGAAAGGAAATGACACAAATCAACCGGAAAGAGAAATACCAGGTTCACTGAAAAGAGAACACATCAGATTGGTTACTCACCACATCCATGCCCTACTGCCGGGAGAGTCCCTTCAATTGACACAGCTGGGCGGGAATCACATGTCCTGGGTAAGGTGTCTCTTCCACAGGTGAGACTCTCACTAGGCCTTGGTTTTCATCAGTTTATATAAGCAGTTGCAGAGTTTACAGAGCAAGCATTCAGTGTTTCCATGCACAAATGGTTATCAATGGCATACGTGCACTGAGCCTCCTGGCTATCGTCCCAGCCTGGCAGTTGTGTACGTGCATTGTTTTCCCTGGTTATTGTACTAGCCAGCACAGATGGCCAGTCTGCCCCAGGCTGTGACGCCCAAAGGACCTTGAAATTCTTACAAATTGCAACTATCTCCATGAGAGAAAGGCCAGTTCCCACCACACAGAAAGCAGCTTTATATTTCTTTGTGTGCTGGTGGCTGTAGGTTAATGGAAGAGCCAAACATGGCTGCACTCATGTCAAGACACCACACTTGGCCACAAATATCCATTGGATGTTGGTGCCTGTGAAAGGGGGTGTGGTGAGAGCCCCTCTCTGAGTAGATAAGAAGTCAGCGCTCTGAGACCCTGCACACCAGCTCTCAGGTGGTCATCGGTAAGGCCTTGGGGGAGCTCCTGTTACAAAACTGCCCAAGCCTCTTGGTAGGAAATGCATTTTTCTGGATTTCTGTGAAGGCATTTCGGAAGAAGGAACATCTGCTCAGTCATGTTTAGGCCACAAGGAGCAAGGTAAGGGATATGTCACCCCTGCAGCAAGTGGGAGCCCATCTGAGAAGTTCCTCAAGACAACGTCAGCCAAATATCAGAAGGGGTAATGGGGCCGGCTAAGGCAGAGTGTTCTAAGTGGCACCATCTTGTCTGGGAATCCACCATCCTGTCCCCAGCCCACTGAGCCAGACAGCCTGCAGGTGCCCCTAAAATCCTATTCCACAAACCACATATAAACCTGAAAACATGGAGAAAGTTCTGGGGGAAAATGATGTCTGTTTTGGTTTTGCTCTGCTTGGATGGATTGTCATCATTTTGCTGTAAACAAGTTCACATCCTGTCTCACCAACTTTTCCACCTTCAAAGAAGTGGGAGGAGCAGAAGGACAAAGACCCAGGAATAAATAAGCCTGAGGGGGGTTTTGATGGTCACGTGATGACACGTGATGTGTTTCCCCATGATGCGGGGACCAGCATGGAATAGATGCTCAGTCCACGATACCTCTCATGGATATCCACAAGTGGAGAGCTGCTGTTAGGGTCCCCCAGGGTCCTCCAGGGTTGACAGGTGTTCCTGAGCTAGGAGGGGCTGCCATTGGTGTCTGAGGGGCCCTAGGGTGCCCCAAGCTGGAGGGCTGGAGGTTGTCCCCAGGAGTCTGCCTGCTTCCTTTCAGGACACTGTCTCTAGCTAGAGGCTCAGAAAAGCCAGCATGAGTTCTGCCAATTCACAGAACACTCCCCAAAGCCAGGCACTCCCTCATCAGTGGATGAGGGTGGCTTCCTGCCATCCCATTGTGCCGGGAGGTCAGGGACCACCCAGGGCCTCTCAGCCAGATTCATACCCTCCTTGTACCCGAGTCTTGCCTGAATCCCGCAGCCCCCACACCTCCCAGTGTGGAGGGGCCTGGACGGTGCCCAGCTGGTGGAATACGTGTGTTGGGATGAGGGATCAAGGAGGGTGTCTGCAGCAGGGAAAGTGGGTGGGTTCAACCCCTCCAAAACCTGGACCTTAACCTCCACCAGCCACCCAAGGCCACCCCGGTGACCTGGGCTAGTCCCCTGGGGGCCTGGGCTTCCTCATCTGTGAACCAGGCACCATAATAGGGCCTCCCTAGAACCTGGTGAGCTCTGGTCTTGACTGTGTGAGGTGTGGGTAAGGTGGGCTGAGTGCATGTGTGACCACGAGGCAGGGCCCAGTGCTGGATCGGGCACCCAGGGGTTAGGGCAGGACCTGTGCACAGAGGAGCGGTAGCAGCTACAGCAGGTGAGTTGCAGCAAGTCCTACAGGGAGGGACACAGGCGGGAAAGGAGGAGAAGGCAGAGGTACCTGGTCATAGGCTTGTAGCAGAAATGTCTCTGAGGGTGGCACGGTGAGGGCCTATTGGGGCGCAGGCCTGGGGTGCAGGGCCCAGATTGCCCCCACTCCTGGCGAGGTACATTGATATACAAGCCCAGTGGGTTGCAGGAGGTGGGGATGAACACAGCTGTCTGAGACCAGGTGGCCACCAGGTCTTAGCCCAGGGTCACAGAGTCACTCCTGCGCTGGGTCCTGGACGTCCGGCCCAGCTCCTGGGAAGCCTTGGGTTTCCAACCTGTTCTCAGATCCCAGACCACTGGAGCGTCTCCTAGTGGGGGTCCCTGGGGTTGCCCCCTCCCCACCCTGAGGGCCCCTTCCAAACTGGCCCAGATCTGGCTACTTCAGGTTCCCTCTCTTGTCCCAAGGGTAGGCTGAAAGGATCCCCATGCTTCCTTGTGACTTCCTGGCCACCCTGCTGGCAGGCCCTGACCCATGCTTCATCCAGCCCTCCAGGTGGCTAGTGGTTGCAGGCTTCGGCCCCCAGGACAGGGTCAGAGCAAGGATTGAAGGCTGGTCAGGACCCGGGTCGGCAGCTTGTCACTCTCTCTGGCTCTCATAGGTGCCAGCAGCCGGCTTGGTGCTCCTTTCAGCTGCCCACCATGGCCCGGGGGCTGCCCAGCACCGCCGGCCTGGTGCGCTTCTGCCAGAAGCTGAACCGGCTGAAGACACTGGAGGAACCCACCAGGGGGACATCACTGCAGCGTCACCTGACCACGCTGGACCTGACCCTGCTGGGTGTGGGTGGCACGGTAGGCGTGGCCCTCTTCGTATTCACAGGTACTGTAGCCAAGGAGATGGCCGGCCCTGCGGTGCTCGTATCCTTCATTGTGGCTGCTGTGGCCTCCCTGCTGGCAGCCCTATGCTATGCGGAGTTTGGGGCGCATGTGCCCTACATGGGCTCTGCCTACCTGTTCACTTACGTGTCCGTGGGCGAGCTGTGGGCCTTCCTCATCGGCTGGAATGTGCTCCTCCAGTGCCTCTTTGTTGGTGCTGCTATGGCCAGTGCCTGCAGTAGCTACCTGGACGTCATCTTCGGCCACCGCATCCGCAGCTTCACTGAGGCCCATGTGGGCATCTGGCGGGTGCCCCTCCTGGCCCAGTACCCAGACTTCTTGGCTGCTGGCATCATACTTTTGGTCTCCACATTCATCCTCTGTGGAGCCCGCATCACTTCCTGGCTCAATCGCGCCTTCTCTGCCATCACCCTGGTCGTCATCCTCTTCATCATCATCCTGGGGTGTGTCCTGGCCCGCCCACACAACTGGAGCACTGAGGAGGGGGGCTTTGCGCCCTTTGGCTTCTCCGGCATCATGGCCGGTGCTGCCACCTGCTTCTACACCTTTGTGGGCTTTGATGTCATTGTTGCATCCAGTGCAGAGGCCCAGAACCCAAAGCGAGCTGTGCCTATGGCCATCACCATCTCACTTGGCCTGGTAGCTGGTGCCTACATCCTTGTCTCCACTGTGCTCACCCTCATGGTGCCCTGGCACAGCCTGGACCCTGACTTGGGGCTTGCTGACGCCTTCTACCAGCGGGGCTATAGCTGGGCGGGCTTCATCGTGGCAGCTGGCTCCATCTGCGGTAAGGGGCCCTTCCAGACAAGGTGGGAGGGAACAAGGCGGTGGGGCCCTGCCCTAAGCCTCCCCTGGAGCACATCTCCATCTGGGCCTGTGTTCCCAGCTGTATCATGGGCCCACGAAGAGGCTAATATTAGACTCTGCCCCCGGGCTTGTTAGGAGGGAACTACTCACTGCCCCTCCCACTTGTACATAAAATGTCAGCTCTGGGTATGTGCTTCCAGGTCCTTTCCTGGTGGAGGGACTCGGCCCTCATCAGATTCTCCAGTGGATCTGTCACCTAAGCTGAGGTGTCCCATTCCTGGGTGGCAAGGGGGAACAATCCAGCACCCCACATACACTCAGGCTCAGAGAGCCCAGACAAACTCATGCCCATGTTCCCAAGGGGCCACCCCTGCCCCGGCCCCCAGTAGTGGCCCCTGGTGGGCCTGTCCATCATGCTGACCAGTCTCCCACCCTCTGCCACAGCCATGAACGGTATCCTGCTCAGTTACGTGTTTTACCTGCCACGTATGGTCTGTGCCATGGCCACCGACGGGCTCTTCTTCCAGGTGTTTGCTCACTTGCACCCTCGGACGCAGGTGCCCATGGTGGGTGTCCTGGTGCTTGGGGTCCTCATGGCTTTTCTGGCACTGCTGTTGGACGTTGAGGCACTGGTCCAGTTTCTGTCCATTGGCACACTGCTGCCCTATACATGTTTGGGTATCAGCATTATCGGGCTACGCTTCCAAAAGGTCCCTCCATCCAGTTCCCTGGACCCAGCCAGCCCTGTGGGCACAGAGCAGGCCTCAGCTCCTGAGCCTGGGCAGCTGCGACCAGCCCTGAGATCCTACCTCGGCTTCCTGGGTGGGTGCCGGCCTGGAGCTGCCGTGGCTTGGGCACTCGGTGTCCTGGTGGCCTCGGCCATCACTCTGGACTGCGTGCTGGTCTTCGGGGACTCGGCCCTGCACCTCCCGCTCTGGGGCTACACCCTGCTGCTCCTGCTCAGCTCCGTCATGTTTCTGCTCAGTCTCCTCGTCCTGGGGGCCCACCAGCAACAGCGCCGGCAGGACACCTTCCAGGTACTTCCTCCAGCAGCACCCCTCACTCTCAGCCCAGCCAGCTCCCCTCGCCCCTTCCTCCTCTGCTGTGGCAGGGTGCACCAGGGCTCACAGGGCGGGGGAGGGCAGTCCCCATCCCCCTCTTTCTACATGGCGAGTGGGCCCTTGTCTGCAGAATCTCCAGCGGCAGAGAAAGTCTCTGAGGACTCCTGAGAAATGAGGCTCTGGGCCAGCAGACCTTCCCATAGCCAGCCCAGCCCTGCCCTTGCCCCTCAGGTTCCCCTGGTGCCCCTGACTCCAGCCCTGAGCGTCCTCCTCAACATCTTCCTCATGCTGCACCTGAGCTCCCTGGCCTGGCTGTGCTTCTCCATCTGGATGCTGATCGGTGAGTGGGGGCCAGGCTGGGACCCGGGTGGGCTGCAGGAGGAGGGCAAGCAGGGAAGCAGGGCTGGGACCCACCCCTTCAGGCTGGTGCCACCCTTGCAGGACTCGCGGTGTATTTTGGCTACGGCATCCGGCACAGCAAGGAGAACCAGCGGGAGCGGCCGGGGTTGACTGCCACACGCAGCAGCCTGGAGGAGACGGTGCAGGCCCTGCAGCCCCCCAGCCAGGCACCAGCCCAGGAGCCGGACCGCACAGATCAGCCCACCAGTCCATGAGGACCGCTGGGGGCCTGCCTGCCCTTCCCCACATCCTCGGGAGGCCTGAGGGACCTGCAGCCTCTTCTGCAAACCCAGGGCAGCTCAGGTTTGCAGGCCCGCCCATGCCGGGGGGTCCTCAGGACCTCACTCCAGGTGCCAAGCTTTGAGTCTTTGGGAGTGGGCTGTGGCTGGCACTGATGTGGTAGACTTTTTGCCCAGGGCCTTTCAGTTTATGACCTACTCCAGCTACCTGGGCAGGTGGAATGGGGCTGGCAAGGAAGAGGCCCACAGCTCCAAGGATCCACAACAATAACTGCTCAGCCAGCTACGTGACCTGCTGCCACATCCACTGTGGTGTTCTTCGTG